GCTCCCCCCCAGGGCTGAGGCAGCCGCATGGCACCCGCCCTGTGGGACTGCTGGCAGTAAGTCCGCATAACGCAGACCATCAATCTTCGGGGTGGGCCCCCACTTGCTCCTGCCTCCGCGACAGGCTCATGGGAGGGTTCCCAGAGGGTTGCATCGCAGAGCAGTGATGCTTGGGGTGACGTTCCTGGGCCGATTCTGCTCTGGCACCCGTGTTCCAGCCGCGTCCTCTTGTTGCCATTCACGGAGACTGGCACCAGACCCCTGTGGCCGATTGCTCATCCTCAGAGGCGGGGGTACCGCCTGTGCAATCTGCCCCCCCTACACTTATTGCCGTAGCGATGTGGGCGCACTGCTCACGCTCCCGGAGCCACCTCAGACCGACCTCAGAGGCGATCCAGGCTGGTGCTAGACGGAGGGGCCATCTGCCCAGCAGCGGGGGGCATGGGTCCCAGCTCCAGGGGCATGCTCGTGCCAGCAAGTGTGCTAAAATAGCAGGTAGCCAGGCCAGGCCAGCTGTCCATGCACCCACCGAAGGTTGGGACTGGAATTATGGGCGGCAGCCTCCTAAAAACAGCCATGGGCACTGTACTAGACAGGATTTTCCCCTCCCCTTTCCCCTTTTTTTCTGCTATTCATTTGGGGCCGCGGTGGGGAGGGGGAGAGCAGGATGTGGCCGCAAATGGAAAGCAGAAAAGGAAAGGAAAGGGGGAGGGGGTAAAACCCTGTCAACTGCAGTGCCCGTGCTCAGTGAAACTACGGAGCGGCTGGAAGTGCCCGTACTTAGCTTTTGATGCCAACTGAAGTCTCGGCTGGACAAGGCCCTGGCTGGGATGGTTTCACTGGGTTGGTCCTGCCTTGGGCAGGGGGCTGGACTGATGGCTCCTGAGGTCTTTGCCTGCCCTGGGATTCTAGGAGTCTCAGCTTAAAGCCCTGTCGGCCCTAAGAGATCAATGACACTGCAAGGGAGAGGCTGCATTCGACATCATCCTGCAATGCAACAATGGCTGCTGAAGTCTGCCGGCTGATAACCGACGCTAGGCAGGGCCTGCTGCCTTTCTGCACGGGAGGCTGCGCATGCAGAAAAGCAACCCGGCTGAGCAGAGAGGAGATAGCTGCTAATTGATTTCCTTGCCTGTTTCAGTGCTCTATTGACATTCACTCCTGGGCTCCGGGTTGGCAGCCAGCCACCAGCTGGGCTGGGATGTGCAGGGGGAAAGGAGCATGATCAAACCTGGGAATTGCAACCAGTCACTTTTATGGCTGCGTGTGGTTGGGGAGCGGCAGATGCTAGTTTTTTCCCTGAACGTGTGATCTACTTCCGAGCACCGATTTTTTTTTTTCTATCCCTGCCTTTCCTTTGCCAGTGATTTCTCCTGGGAGTTCCTTTCCAACTCCCACATACGTCAGGCCTTGCTAAATCACAGCAACATTTATAGATTATTTTTAAAAAATTAGTCCGGATTCCCTACTCGAACCCGCGACCCTGTCCTCCCCCCTACTGCACCTAGCATCAGGGCTACTCTGAATTCTGGGTGAGCAGAGCAAGGATTCTGCGGGTGCAGCCAACCGGCTTCTCTCTTTCGGACACCAACACATTTCCCTGGACAGCACAGCTCTGTCCCTAGGGAAATGTCTGGTTCTCATCAGTTCTATGTGTTGTGTAGATTGCAAATGAGTGGTCCCGAGGCCATGCCTGTGTGTAATTCAAACAGTGCGCGTGAGATCTACACAGTCAGCCAAATCTGAACAACAATCACTCCGGTTGTGTGTGCGGGAAACCCACACGAAGGGTTGGACTCACAGGGCTCAAACTTCTTCAGAACCAATTCGTGCCTGGACAAAATTTCAGGCGCCCTCCTCCCCCCATGAAATTGCTTGTCGGAAATCTGGGTAAGGAAAGGATTTATAATCGGGGCTGGAATTCAACTTTAACTGCAGCCCAAACAAGGAGGAACCCTCTGGCACCAACAACTATAGATATCGGGTAGCGTGAGCTTTCGTGGGCACCACCCACTTCCTCAGATGAGAGGATCTTAAGTGGCCATGAGCGTTCGGTAGACCAGACCCTTCCCAAGCTACCAGGCATGGCCCCTCCCACACTCCAGCCCCAGAACACCTACTGTCGGCGTGCTGGGGGCAGTGTTGCTCCCCCCGGTGCCCGACCGCATCCTCCTCCCTCCCCCAGAGCCCTGGGGCTGGGGAGGCTGGGGTGAGCACACACCTGCCTGCTCCCCTCCCCAGGGTGGGAGCAGGAAAGGGGCGGGGCCTCAGCAGAAGGGGTGGGGTTGGGGGGCTTTCCCAACCACCCAGAATAAGAAGGGAGAGGAAGAAAAAAAAGTCCCTGTCAATTATAGGACCTGTGCCACAGGACTACTCGTCGTTTTTAAAGTTACAGACGGACACGGACACCCTGCTGAGACTTACCAACCGCATACGCCGCAGCATATGGTACAGAGAAGAGCGACAAGAATGATTAAAGGTTTAGAGAACATGACCTATAAAGCCAGGCTTCATGAACTGGGCTTGTTTAGTTTGGAAAAAAGAAGATTAAGGGGGGACATGATAGCGGTTTTCAAATATCTAAAAGGGTGTCACAAGGAGGAAGGAGAAAATTTGTTCCTCTTGGTTTCTGAGGACAGGACAAGGAGTAATGGGCTTAAAGTGCAGCAGGGGAGGTTTAGATTGGACATTAGGAAAAAATTCCTAACTGTCAGGGTGGTCAAATATTGGAATAAATTGCCAAGGGAGGTGGTGGAATCTCCCTCTCTGGAGATATTTAAGAACAGGTTAGATAGACATCTGTCAGGGATGGTGTAGACGGAGGTTGGTCCTGCCTTGAGGGCGGGGGGCTGGACTCGATGACCTCTCGAGGTCCCTTCCAGTCCTATTATTCTATGATTCTATGCGCCCACACTTTCGGTGCTCGGGGAAAGCAGCGATCTTATAGCCCGCGTTACTATGCAAAGCCCCGCCAGTTAACTGGCAGCCTGTGCTTATTAAAGAAGATAAAAAGGTAGAAATACGACACTAAGAACATGAAAAAGAAAGCGTTCCCTCATCTGCGAAATGACCTGCCTGATTAGATGTGCACCAATTGCTACCTTGCCCGTTAGAGACATAAGGTGGAGAAGAAATCTCTTTTATGGCACCAACTTGGGTTTCATCCAAAGGCTTCCAGACAAACAGAAAAAGTGAAACGGCGAGCCAGGGAGGAGGAGGCACCGCTACGGACTCTGTAGGGGAGGCAGACAGGTAAAAGGGGAGAAGTTAGTAATGACGTGGAACGTTGTGGAGTTAATGCGATGACTCCACTAATTAGAGGAATCTGTTGCAATGCACCTGGCTAGAGAACAACGAGGTGTGAAATGATTAAACAAATTAAAGACTTGCGCAGAAGACTTGTGGTGA